GAAATAACGGTATGTCCCGGGATTCTGCACCCACAATCAACGCGGCTACGTGCGTGTACGACCCTTGTCCGTACGAACGGCTAGCACAACCAAGCATGGTGTAATAAGGCAGTAAATGTCCCTACTGTGTTCTGCGTGTGGGTGTACGTGTACGTACGTGCGTGTGGGGGATATACGCGCCGCGTGGCCTGTCGAACGACCGCCTTGTTGGGTCTGCAACTTCCGGGTTTAATGTCTTTCTTTACCTTTTCGTCCAGTTTTTGGAAAAAAATGGGCGGGCTTCAGGATATGCGGGTATGCCGTGATTATTATGTAGGTTCGTCTTGGACCAATCACATGAAACAACCTTCCCAATAGTATGATTAATTCATGTTTAAGCTGACCAATCGTAAGCTTCACAAGAATCATGTGACGTCGCCCGGCATGCATAATGCATTAGTCATCATGGCGTCTTCCATGTCTTTTTAGCGAGAGCGAAATGTTCGTCACTTTTTCAACAATTTGACATTGATTCGAGTTTTTCGGCTCGTGTAATGAATCCATTTGAGTGGGCAACGATCGTCTAATGACAGCATTACCTGCAGAATTCGTTGGAGCCATCAATACTGCTTCGGACAGACTGGGACTGAACGACTTTCACCCACAGCAACGGGCCGCCATTACAGCGTTTCTTCGCGGATGCAACGTGTTTGTTAGCATATCGCGGGCTAACCAATGAGAATTCAGTATATACGCGGGGGTGGTACCTCATTACCGTAATAGGTTTTGCTGGGTCAACTCAAAACCATCAAGGCGTTGGGTTACGCGGACTAGTCATGCATATACTGTGTGTTCATGGCTGTTGTACGAGTACGTGTGTGTACATGTATACGTGCGTAAGTGCAAGCATAGAGCAAGTGGTGCGAGCATAGCCTGGCTGTATGGTACAAGTTACTTTCCCACTAGCAGCGTACGGGCATCGATATGTGCACGCAATTATGGCTTGCCAAGTTGATTAGGGATTTTCTTATCGGCGATTTTTTTTTTTATCGGCGAATCGATAAGCCCAACGCCTTGGTCAAGGCTAGAGGACCTGCTGCACCGTTAAAACAAGCTAAAATAGATAATAAATAAAATAAAAAAGCCATAAAAAAGCATATTAATACATAAAAAGCAAGTACATTATATATACATATATAAACAAGCACTAAAACGTTTCAAAAAATAAGACACTGACAGAAAAAAAGCCAATGAATTTAAACATGAACCCAAAAATTGAGGGAGATTTCCGTGATAAAAAACGCACAATATGACTAAAACGGGGACGGATGATTAAAAAGCAAAGATACAAAACAATGAATGAATTAAAACATAAAGATAATAAAAATTACCATGATCAAAAGAATGCTGAAGGATGATGACAGAAAAAAAGACTGAATGAAAAAAAGAATGAAAGTAAGCAAAACTGAATTAAGACGTAAAAACCAAAACTTTTACGAAAAAGAAAAAAAAAACGGCTAGAGTTGAGAAAAATGCTTAAATAAAGACTTAATGATGGAAAAAACCCAATGAATTTAAACACACACAAAACAAATATTATACAGAGAAGATAGGAATTTATATATATATATATATATATATATAAAACTGCATTATATAAAAAGCACATTAAAAAGACTGGAGCGAGGAAGATGATTACAATTCACTCGGAAGAGCAAACAAAATCTACAGACAGAAGCCTCATAAACAAAACGAAACCAAGTTGTTCCAAAAAGTTCATGGGATGACGATAAACCTAAATAGAGCTTAAACCCTGGTCCGAAGACGTGAACAAAATTCTGACGTCATCGTGACGTCATCGTGTATTAAATTACAAGCGACTTAACGTCACAATTTGAAAATTTACTCGCAATTATAACTTTATAACGGAATAATCTAGAGTAGCGTTCTCACTTTTTTCTCCGGGCACTCCGGTTTCCCTTCCTCCGGAAAAAAATCAAACACTTTCAATATCAGGCTGTGCTCTGTGGACATATGGGTCGATGTGGCCGGCAGCCATAGGCGCCTTTACGTGCCAGCGGCCCGACCACGTTGTAGCCGCGTCCTTCGCAATTCAGCATACCAGCTGCGAGTAAGGATGATTAGCCTCCCAAATTATTATTATCATATTATTATTATTATTATTATTATTATTATTATTATTATGTTTTCTTGCCAAGATGGTGGGCGCATGCGCAGTGTATGCAACGACAGGTTCTTTTTAGGGGACGTGACCTGGGGGGAAGCGTTTAAAATATTGGTCATTAGTGGCGGTTTCGCAACAATTTGCTCGCAAATCGTAATGAACCGATAAACCGTCATCAGAATGTAGCAGTTTTGAGCCAAAAGAATGGAGGGGGGTGATTTGGGGTTGAAATGAAATGGAACTCAATTAACTCGCGTTGGGGGCGCCTTACAGCACGTCAGCCGCAAAAAGAACGTTTGTTATCAGGCCTGATAACGAACTTAAACAATGTTTTTCTTCCAATTTTTTGATGAAACATAGGTCATCCAACCTTCCACATGTCGTACAAGCAATTTGGGAGAACTTTTCAAAACTTCGCTTATTAGGTTGCAGGCCAGTAAATCGGTCCGAATTCACCTACGCCGGCCAAATCACGATTTTCATGCCCTCAAATTCTTCGCTTTTTGAGAATATTGAAGGACGTGAACTTGAGGGTTTGTAAAAAATATATGTGGAAGCCGTGCACAGGACTGTGAGCTTGAAGTTCTGTGCAATTTGGATGTAAATGGAGCCCTAAAAGCGCTCTATTTTCAACGGAGTGTAGGCGTCGTTTTTCAAAATGGCAATGGGCTTCAGGACCATTTAAGGGGTGGTCATCTTTGGATGGAAATTTCTCCTAAAAGTCATCAGTTAGCCCCCCCCCCCCCCAAAAAAAAAAATGAAAAGATAATAAAAGATGATGAAATTGGCTTTAATTTGATGTGTGTCTGGAACACCTTGGAGAGTTGTGAGTATTATTCCTGAATTTTTGAAGTTGGGGCACTTATCATTAGAGTCTACGGCAGTTTATTTACTGGTCTGCAACCTTATGGGTGCAACCCTGTATATAAACTCCCATAGGCACTAGTGCTAAATGCCCATACTTCAAAATCCTTTTAAAAATACTCAGAACTCTCGCAGGTATTCAAGTTGCACAGACAAATGATGATCAACATGTCATCTTTCATTTACTTTTATTTTTTTGGAGGGTTGACCATTGACTTTTCGAGATATTCGCACCCAAAGAAGACGACCCCTATTTTTCCCCAAAGCGGAAAAGTAGCTATCTTGAAAAACGATCCCTCCACAACATGGCAAAATAGCGCCAATTTCGAGCCCATTTGCATCCAAGATACTCAGAATTAGAAGCCTCAAGTCCGGGCCAAAGGTTCATTACCATATCTCTTCAATTTCCCAATCTTATGGCTCTCAGAACTCTCCAATATACCCCTTTAGGTACTCATTACAGTGTTTACACTTGACTGTTTTTTTTCTGATGCAGGTACAGTCATTTGTCCAAAAACTCAGGCCCTGCAATTTAAAATCCTTCCTATACTAAAATGAGATTTTGGAAGTATGGAGATTGAACACTGGTCTCTATGTGAATTTATTAACTCGGTTGCACCCTATAGTATTTCCAAGATGGCTGTGTCCTTGGCCCAGTTACCGACCCGTCATTAGAGGGCGGTACATGTGTATAAGATTGACAGTAGGGTATGGTACTCATTTAAGTGTTTACACTTATCCTTTTTCTGATGCAGGTACAGCCTCACAAAATCCTCAGTCTGGAAATCCCACTGCAGGTATTTTTTAAGTGACAAATTATTACAGCAATAATTAAATCCCAATGGATGTTTGTTAAAAAAACTAAGGCCCTGCAATTTAACTTCCTTTCCATATTAAAATGAGATCTCCTTTTTCCATTATTGTTTTAATTCAATTTTGTTGTACATATAAACACGTTTGCTATGACCAATGTTTTAGTCCATTTTTTTGGCTGAGCAAAATGCATTTACCGGATTTGTTTTGGTACTGCTTGTAGACAAAAAACCAATCATGTTTATGGCATTCCTAGTAAATATTGTTAGTGGTGGTGGGGCATTAGTCGGGGTAAACGAGTCATTTTACCTGAAATGGTTGCCTTGATATGTTTCGTGATTATAACTCGTTAATGGGGCAGGGTTAAGTACTACTTATTGTACCGGTAGTGCAGAGCTGGCCCTTTTATGTACTTAAAAACAAATGACCAAGTGTCGTAAGGGGTCGGACGTTTCCACCACCCTCAACCTCCATCATAGGAAGGTGTTTCCAGCCGTGTTTTTTTAACGTTATTTTCAAGTGATGACCCTAATCCTTTCAATAAAAGAAGTGACAGAGCCATATTAAAAATATTACAACATAGCTTTATTGTATTAAAACCAGAAGTGTTGATCATTATTTCCACTGAATCATTAACTAGATTATATTTCTTTTTTTTAACGCTGGAATTACCCACAGGGGCACTTTTTGTCCATGCTCAAAGGAATACATGATTTGGGTACCGTTTTCCCCTTGGGACGCTGTTTTCTTGACAAAAATAAACAAAACAATTGGGAAAAACGCTAAATTTATGATAAACAAGTTCAGCATTGTTACTTTTAAAGTAATGGATTTCCTCCGGTTGCCAAATTTCCAGTTTTTATTTATTTATTTATTTATGACTTTTTTTTGGGGGGGGGGGTGACTCGGAGGCGACGATTTTTTTTTTTTTGGGGGGGGGGGTATAGAGGGCGTGCATCCCCACCCCTGTATCTTCGCCCCTCGATGACTCCTTCTAATTGTCTTCTCTGGGGCTAGAAGAATTCATCTTCCAAGTTTAGTGCTTTGAACCAGTCGGTCACGATTCCACCCACAACGATTCCACCCATTCCACCTGACTAATATGCTTGTCGATTTCTTCTCACAATGTAGGTGCTTTGAATGCTCCCCAGAATGCAGATGACTTGTCTGAAGTGAGACCCGACTGTAACGGTTCTTACGCAGCTCATAAGATGAAGACAGCTCAACCCACGCCGGATATGCTGAATCCACAACTTGTAATGGAAGCATACACTTATGTTACTTCGAAATTAGGCTTCTTGTAGATCGTAGTAAATGTCATTTTGCTTTTTATTTTTAAGCCCACATGACATTGTATGGAGTGTCTTTTTTTGTATTTTTTGTATTTTTTGTATTTTTTTTTTTTACAATATTATTTACAGACTTATCAGCTAACATCGAAGTGCAAAGGACTTGCATTCATTCTAAACAACATCGATTTCAACCAAAGCGATCGGCGGGAAGGCTCACAGATTGATTTGGCAAATATGGAACATCTCTTTAAAGAACTTGGATACACACCAATTTGCCACAAGAATCTTAAAGGAGAGGTAAAAAAAAAAAGAAATAAGGAATTAGCAGATAGAGCTAGACGGGCGCTCTCTAACAAAAAAAGGAAGGGGCCACCTATGGAGTACGTATACACAAAAATGCCGACTTTTTAGAAACCCACCTGTACACACGGCAGATTAAGTAGTTCCAATCCACCTTTTCCTGTAAGCATAAATGTACCATGTCATGTACACCTTTCCGGTTCGTAAGTGTGAAGTCATTTCAACTTAAGCTACACGGTGTTCCGTGGGTGCCCTTCAGGTATCTATCAATGAATCCTCAGGAGGTTTTCTTCCTAACGTATGAAAATTATATGAAGGACTGGCCTAGGTCTGGTTCCTGCACCCTGAACACAAAAATCACAACAGTAATGTTAGCACAGAACGCGCCTATTGCAAAATGGCAACAACGGCTACCACAAATGTGCAAGTTGTGTGGGGATGAGCTTCGAATTTCGCTGAATTTGAAAGTGTCTCAGATAATTATCAATAATAACGAGAGGGGCATACTTTTCAGTATTTTGAAACCAATGCTGTTGAAAGGTTTCAAATTTGCCTTCGTGGAGACATTGGCGATTTTGCTTATTGTATGGCAAGAGTAGGATCGTACTGCGCACGCTGATATGATGCAATATTAATGGCCTTAAGTTGAATGAGGACTAGCTACCGGTCCCCGTATTTTATGGGGGTGGTGAACAGTCTACATTGGAACCATTGGAACTGGTGTCATTTGAAAAGCAGACTCCTATGATAATCTAGACTTGACCAAGGCTGCCTAGCTTGTTCCCTGAACGAGCGAGAGGCCGCTACCGTACAGCATTAGGCTGATTTGTCCGGTACCCGTTGTATGTAACTGTACCTGCCATGGCACAGCGCCACGCCCATTTGCTAGCCTGCACATTACAGTACGAACGCCACACACACATATCCATAAACAGTATACAGTAACCATTCCCCAGTCGAGGCGAAAGACAACCTTGGAGCAACCGTGGCTAATTCCTTATGTGTTTCTCTACATTTTCGGCCGAATTCGGCCGAGTATTTCTGATGCACAATTTAACATGATATCCAATCAAAGCCATTAAACTTGGATCCGCATTTGGCAGCTTACTGCATACAAAACAAACGTGCTCTACACGCTCGCACGTATACGAAGTTGACTGAACTTTGATGCATAGCCCAGTTTCCTAATTAATTCAAATTCATGCACGCTTGTGTATAAATATATCAAATTTTCCAATTTTATCACATTAAAAAAAATCGCAGTGTTGCAGAAAAGGCAATGCTTATTGATATATTATTTCAAAAATGGAATAGTATTGCAAAATAACACACGCTAAAATTGCTAAAATTTGCTATTTGAGGATTGAAAAATATCTTTTTGCATTACTTCACAATATTATTGTTTATTTTCGCAAAATTATTGCATTATTTCGCAAAATTACTACATTAAGTCGCCAAACTATTGCGTTATTTCACAAACTTTTGCGTTAGTTTTTTTTTTCTTTTAAACATGGCACGAACCGGCTTACGTATTTATTGAATAATAAATATCCGGGAATTGAAAATGTTGCCTTCGCTATCTTTAAAGAACTAGCAGTGCTTGACGAGAATGTTGCACATTTTTGCCGCTGACCGATATAGAGCAGCGTGATTTTCGTGTGGGACGGCCTGGGCTTTTACACACGATCTCCAGTCAACGTGACAGCGTCCGTTGCACGGTAAACTCATTTGCGCCGGCGTGGATGGTACCCAAAATCACACAATTATTTTTTGGCACTCAAAAGCATTTTTAAAAGTTTTTATTTCGTACTTCCAAAAAAAGACCAGAAAGTAATACCTATGACGATTTCAGGGGCTTCTTAAAGACAACTGGGACAAATCCTGGAGAAATTGAAAGAAAATGACAAAACTTTTTGCCCCCTGTACATTTTTAATGGACAGATTTCGCTTTTTGCTTCAAGGCCTATTTATGCGCATGCGTGCATGAATTTGAATTTATTAGGAAACTGGTCTATTATGCAGTATTAATAAATACCTTGGAGAGTTGATGGTTTCTGATTGGTCGAGACTCGATCACGTGGCCGGGCATTAACGGTGATAATGGCCGGCTTCAAAGAACAAGCGAATAAATGGCCCCTGAACCAGCATTGATCCAGCCCCATGGAAGGCAATGATTGGCCAAATTTACAACAGTCATATAGCAGCTTGTAACAATACAGCACTGCACATGCGCTCAACCACCTTCGCGTGAGACTGACGCGCACGTACGCAACACAGTTGCTATGGGTGCGCGCGCGTAAGGAAGTTTTGAAACGACATCGTACAGCTGCGGCAGTGCACTATACTGAGGATGTTACGACAAAAACGTAGATCTACGATTTATTTTCTGTAAATACTTCGCCCATCGACATATTTACCTTTCCTAAACCAAGCATCTTTGTAATTCTGGACACAAGGATTGTGTGAACGAGATTTCAGCTTCCTCCATAAGGTAAAAATATAAAAACATTGTTGTAATTTGTTTGGCTACGGCAGCAGAAGTCGTACGCGTACGCAATGAAGACGTTGCCAGCGCAGCCAGGGCCCGGCTGTGGTGTATATAACAACGCTTATTGAAGAGACAGGGTACCACGCATAAGCTAAAATATGGCCCATGAACATGAACACAAAAAAAAATGGAAATATCGCCGGAAAAAAAGTCACAAAATTGGAGCATTTTATCTGTTTATTTCGTTAAAAAGGTATTTATTAATGGGAATAAAAGTGTGAGGAGCCGGTCTTCAATGCGTGATAATAACCGTGTTTGGGATGACCGCTGTTAATGGACCTTCGTCTCGGTCCATTAACAGCGGTCACCCCCAAACCAATATTTGTTTTATATAACTGACATATAGATCCTTGTCATTTGATATATTTGAACTTTTTTTTTAATACAAAACTGGAGGGAAATGTATTTCTCTCTTCCAAACCACCCTTTCACGAAAATGTTTGAACCCAACGCTGTAGCGCTGGCTCTTTGGATCAATACGCGCTACGCGCAATGCTGAACGTGCACACCAGCATGCATTTGCACACAAATACCGCGTCATGATCCTAACTGTTGAATAGTATTTCCCATTCCCATGGGCGGATAGTACTTTTTGAGCCGCGGCATGAATGGGAGCAATAACGAATGCCACGTGATGTGAGTTCCACCAATCAAGTGACAAGGATCTGTATGTCGGTTATATAATATACAAATATTGAATGCTTCGAGTGGTGTAGTAAAACAAGCCTCCCGAGGTGATCCATGGACATTCTATTTTCTCGAATCGAAGCCGAGGGAAAATAGAATGGTCCATGGACCACCGAGGGAGGCTAGTTTTACTTTACCACGAGATAAAGCATTCATTATTTGTTTTATAACACTTCACCCACAGATTCTGCTTGATTTTAATATTTTAAATTATTTAAATCTGAACACAGTTGAAATAAAATTCAATTTCAATACAAAATTGGTGGAAAATGTATTTCTCTCTTCCAAACTACCCCCTCACGAAATGTATGAACCCAAGTCTACGGCGCGCTCTCTTTGGAACAATACGTGCTACGCGCAACGCGCAATGTGCACACAAATACCGTGCCGTGGAAATAGTACTTTGGTTGCTAATGGTTTAGTACTTTGCTTGCTACGGGTATAGTACGTTTGACCGTGCACAGAAAGATAGCAGAATTAGAAAGTAACATGTGACTCGCTCTCGGCCAATCAAGACACAGAATCTGTGGGTGAGGTGTTATAATAATAACTATTCGTTATTTTGGTCAACCCATAACCAACGAGAGAAGACTGTTTACCATAGCCCGTACTAATTATCTAATTGAGCATATGCCGTTGCTTCAAGGATGTCTTTCGCACGTGTACGACGCAATGTATATGACGAAATCACTGGTTTGCACGTGCGTATGGCATGGAGCGTGATTGTCAAATGTAAAGGGTCTGTAGGCGGAGGAAAAAAAAATGAACTTCCACGTATTTTTCCGCGCACTTTTTTTTCCATGTTTTGCAAGGAATTTCATTCTTAGCAAACTATGTTAAATGATGTGTAGTTTATCCTTTCGTTGATTTCCTCTACAGGATATCACCAAGTATTTCAAGGAGTTCGCCTCCATGTTCAATCACACTGGCGTAAGTTACGACTCAGCCGTGATAGCATTGATGAGCCACGGCGATACGGGAGTCATTCTCGGCACTGATAACATTCAAGTGAAACTGCGAGATTTGCAGGGGGAGCTGGAACCCCATAAATGTCCGGGGCTGGATGGGAAACCCAAGATGTTCTTCGTGCAGGCGTGCAGGGGAAGTGAGTACAATTCCTTCCAATTGGCAGTATGATGGCGCTCTTACCGACCCATTTTCTGTTACAAACAGTTGAAATCAGGGGAAAGTTCGCGTAAGAACTATTGTTAACCATAGTTAGACTAAGTTAGCCCGAACTCTGTCTAGTCAACGATGGTTGGACTACACAATTCGACTTTTTGGAACCAGCCTACTGGGCCTGGTCGCATCGCTGGTTAGAATAGCCCAGGCTCGTTTCGTATAGTGCCGAGGGAACCATTGACAAATGATTAAACGTACTAGCGAGTTGTACTACCTGCTGGTGGGCCTCGGAGATTATTTCGGTTCATTCAACAGGCTAAAGATCATAAACAATCATACTCATGACCTCCATATGTTGACAACGGTTCGACTAGAGTCATTCGCATTCTAATGTTACAGCGCAAGCGCACTGTTTGACACCAAACAACCATTGGTCGACCAACGGTTGTTGCTCGAACTTGCCCTAGCTTTCAGGTTTCAAATTTATTTTCATACTATTGTCAACTTTGAATAATAGTATGTGGAGGTCAGCCAATTTGCCAAAGCTTGTTTTGGGTCTGTCCCCTTCTCTAATCATGTTTTTACACATTTTAAGTTTTCACATTCACGACAACACAAACTAGCTACCGTATAAATAACAAAAATGTGATCTCTGAATTAATGCAAAATGTATACGTGCGTCAATAACCGTGAAATAGGATTTTTCTGTTGTGAAGGCTAGATGAATGAAACGACTTGATGTGACTGTATCCATTCTGAATCACTTAAACAGATTTGTGCGCTCAGGGACCAGCTTTGTCTTGTGTTGTTAATAAACTCGTGTCTGTGTCCCTGAAAATTAGGATTTGTTACCACACTACCTGTAAGTCATGACGGGCCTAACACTGCGTCCGGTGCCCAAGAATCTAACCACCCTCTTGAAGAGTTAGTCCCGGAAGAACTAGCCACCTTCATTGCAGATATTGGGAACCCCGCGGATGTACACTTCGCTTATGCAACAACTGATGGTTCGTACTCAGTACTGATTACTAACTCATATTTGTATTAAATTGTGCAATGAAAAATGTAAAATATAATTGTTACCATGAGTGTCAAATGACATCTCCACGCATTGGAAAGAAAATTGAAAAACAAATCACATCGATATTTCTTTAGATTTTTCCTTATTATCAATCGTTATCTTTTTAGCCTTTTAATATAACTAGCCTTCTCATGTGTACCTGATCGACAGCACCACAATTTTTTTTTTACCAAAATGTTATAAATTCATAAACTTCTCATAAGACCATTACTATAGTTTTCTTGATTGAAAATACAATGCTCAAATACCAGCTTAGGTCTACGAGTCCTATGTGTTTATTCACAGGTTATCTTGCTCTGGGAAATGAGGTCATTGGTTCTTTCTTCGTTCAAGCTTTATGTGAGGTCTTCTTCGCTCGAGCCCATCTGGACAATCTAGATACACTGATGAATGAGGTGAGAAGTTGTGCTCTAGAATGGATGCATGATAAGGAGTGGGACTCAGGTGCGACAACAAAATTATAGTCTTAGCCACCCGGGAACGATTGCACCAGAATTGTTCCCTTCTTTCGATTGACGCCTTTAAGAAGTCTCTATTTGCAAATATGAGACCATGCAATAAGTCACATTTCTGAGCGAACGAGTTTACATGTCGCCATAATTAAAAATTACATATTTTTACAACGATGAGAAGTTGCCAAATTTCTTCAATCAACTTGATATTTCTAGTTTATAACCAAATTTGTATCGCTACAGTGCCTCATTATGTCCGTAGCCTCTAATTTAAAGTTGTTGACGCCATCAGTTCATCAAGTCATTGGAGTCGCTAGTTTCCATCTCGAGGAAAGATAACACAGAAAGATGAGATATGGAACAAAACGGTGGAAAATCATCTATGTTTTTTAATCATACTTTAATAACACCTGCATTTTCTTTACGATTTCCCTCATTTTGCTGCTGCCTAGGTAACCCGTAAAGTAGACAGCATGACAGGCCTGCTGTACGACCAGGAATTACAACGTAATGTTTACGTCAAGCAAACGCCGCAGTGCGTCAAGACCATGCTCAAAGCTTTCTACTTCTTCCCCAATTATCCATAAATTAAATCATTGGTTGTAATCTGAAGTTCAACTGCATTGGAAGTTAACTAAATCGGAAACTGAATTAGCTTCATTGAAACATTCAATATTTTACGGCGGAAATTTATCCGGTTAAAATTTCTTGACTTGTAAACATCTACTCTAAAAAATTATTTCGATCCACTCAATAAAACGGAGGCAACACTGTTGCCTTAAAGGGAAGATACAACATTTGCAAACTTCAACAAATGCAATGGTCAAATCATCACGAAATACCTTACTGGATTGTTAGGAAATGACAGTCTGAAGCATTCTGTAAAAGCGTTTAAAGCTTTTAAAGAAAATGTATTTTTCCAATGCTGGTCGGCGGACCAGCGTTGAAGAAAAGCCTGGCTGTTTTTCATATTAGGTTATTCCGTCTATTCTTTGCAATTGATTACACATCTGTGAAGGGATGAAAGCCTTCTAGACTGATTCTCTATACCTTACAATTTCCTAAAGTGTATCAATTGCCCCAGCATCTACAAGTCCAAACAAGTAAGTTTAACAATATTTGCTATAATATTCTAATCCTCAACATCTATTAAGTTTTGAAAATTGCAGCAAAGGCAAATGTTGTACGTTCCCTTTTATTCGATAACGTCATTTCAACTTGTAATAATTTTGTCATTGCCACCTCAGTTTCCAAGTAAGTGTGAATTAAAACAAGTAATGGTAACTTCATATACAATTGGGATCTAGCAATTAATACAAGAATGGAATTATCTGCTCTTTGTTACATTTACCAAATTGTAGTGTTGCTACATAACATCAGGGTATTCTCACGTATCAAAACATAATCTCTGCGCACATTATAACAAAGTTTCAAGTTGAATTTTTATATTCAATATCGACAGCACTAGTGGAAGAACGTGCGCACTGTTTGCATTTACTCACTGTTCTCAAGACAAGACTCCGCGCGCATTCACTGAAGTGCCTTATTTACAACAGGGATACGATGGCCGCGCAATGCCATTTAATATAATCTCCATAAAACACAGAACTCATCGTAGTTAGTATAACCCCCCCCCCCGAAAAACTACATTTTGTTCGCACGAAAAGCAGTGTAATGCCAAATACATACAACTTAATAATTAAAACAATTTTATTGAACATTAAGTTTATCATTGAAGACTTAAAAAATTTAAGTTATACCCACTCTTTGTGATTTACGTGTTTATTACTCAAACTTGCTAATCAAATGTTACGTATAATTAATGACTCTTTTATCGGTATCAGCTTTACTTAGCTTTGTTGTGTTTTTATGACGTAAATACTTCACGCTGCATCTACGAGTTAATGATTTAAGTATTTAGTACTTAAATGCAGTACACATGATGAGTCTGTTTTGTTTTTAGTAATATTAACCAAACCTGTTTATGTATCATTAACTCAATTTTACATGTTTTTGTCTTTACTCATCGGCTATAAACGTTAACATTTTCATGGGCATATTCTGGCGTTAACAATTATGCACTTCCTTTAATATAAATAATGGTGGTAGTAATTAGTTTTCTTACGCAGATAAGCAATGAATCAAGATGTATTTCCATTTGGGACTCGGCTACAAGACAGTTTGTTTTCGTTTGCTCAAAAGCTTGGAGTTGATCTGAGCAAAGACGGTGTCAAATTTGTGAGTTAAATTAAATATTAAAAAGTTCAATGTAATGCAACATAAACTGTTGATGTCATTGTGACGCCACTTGGGATGTTGCATATTGATAATATTTTCAAGCTTCCCACAATTATAGTAGTCTATGTAATAGACCATTGAGCAAATTTGCTGATTAAGTATGCAATCAACCGCATTTTGACCTCTAGATTTTGACCGATCGGCGGGCGCTTTCTGTATCGGGTCGTCGGTTATTTACCCGTTCTTGCGACAAACCTAGACACAGCAACAAAGGCTGTGTCACGCGCTCTGTATTATGTTACGCGGTACGCGCGCGGCTGTTGTTGTGTTACAAAACACTGCATTGGAATTGACCAATCACACAATTTAGTCCTGATTGGGGAATGAATCGAAGTAACGATTTAGGAAAATCGACTCCGATTGGCCGAGGCACCAGATCGCATAAATCTGCATGCTTTGATATTATCAGACGTTAGACAGGGAGTCTGGGCTCTGTGGCAACAACATGACCTTTTCTAAAAAAAAATATGTATTTCATGATTTTGCATTGTCGATGACGTCATGCACATGACGCCAAAAACATTTCAATTCACATAATTTTTGTGCAAATATCTGTCAATTGAGTTTGTGAGATACGGCATGATCAACTTAAAAAGTCACAAATTCATGTAAATTGTATGATGACGTATCATGACTTTTTTGTGTTGATTGCAATGAATTATGTTACAAACATGATATTGAGTTCAATACTTTTTACAAAATACTAAAAGTTGGTGTGTATAAAACTAACAGAAATCGTATCGATAACGTTTGTAAATTACGGCCTACGTATCAAAGTTGGACTGAAAAAAACCGTATCCGGGCCGGTTGAAGTAATTTAGTCTCGGCGGCGACATTGATACTAGATAGATCATTTGCGGTCAGAAGAATCAGTCTTTAGTAAATAAAAGAAAGAAAGAAATACATTTATTGTTGTGAAAATTGAAAATAAATTGAAAATAAACGGCAAATTATTTCGTATTTTCTATGATGAATTAGGATCATCGTGAAGGTACAAAATGTATACGTAATACGCTGTACATATACAGCCATTTTGGGGTCCATAGAAGTTGAGTTAAATAGTTGCTCAAAAATGTTTGTATTATTTTGAAAGAAACGAATATTTCAGGCGTGAAAGTGCATACGTTTTTGTACAAATTTGTGTTGAAAAAGATGAACTTGTGTATGTCTTTGTTTTGAGTATTGAAAAAAAAATGCCGAATTCAGTTTGAATATCAGAAGATGGTAGATAAATCCGTAATAAAATAGATTACAAAAAAAGTGCATACAATACGAAACAAAGATCATTGTGTGTTTTAATTAGCATCCGAGAAAAGCGTGAAAAGGAAAAGGCCTTATAACCAGATGTACACACTCAAAGACAAACAGTAAATCTCAAAGTCGCGGCGTGTTTCTTGCCAGGCTGCAGCGCCTGTGGTATGATAGTGAATAGTAAATAGCGCCCTCTTTTGTTAAGGTAAATATAATTTAGTTTAGGTGAACCTTAATAATCGACAGATTTTAACAGCGCCCCCATTGAACGTATAGTACGAGCCCCTATCCCCCACCTATGGATTTTGGGAGTTGAAGACTAGTTCGGAGATTGACGATGAACCCCCCCCCTTCGAAAATTCCTGGATCAGCCCCTGGCTGTGCACCCCCCCCCCCCCCCCCCCCACACACACACACCCTACGCCACTGCCCTGAGGTGGGTAAAACCGGCGCTAAGAATATCGGTAAAAGAAAGAAAAAAATCCATCAACGCAGCATCTAATTTTTGGGAGAGATCATCGTAATACTGCATCGTCAAGCTTGAAATGTTCACGACATTTTTTTTATAATTGGTATACGACTTGCTTTTTCAAAATTTCGATTTTCTTTTCCGATTATTATGTCCTATAACAAATAAATTTGCTTGTTTGTTTTTGTAGGCCTTTACACACTTTTAATATACGTTTTCCAGGCCAATTTCCTAAAATTTTCATTCACTTCTGAAAATCAGTCATTCATTTTCGTCTGAATTTGAGAATCGGTCTGAACGGGCGTTTCATTTTGAAGAGTTTTGAGGGCAGAAACCAGTGCTATGTTGATGACGACACTGATTATGACAACAACGATGACGACGGGAACGTTTTTAAAATACTCCTTTCACAATAATTTTGGTCATGTTTCTAAGTTTGCAACTGTGCAATTTTGTATTGCCATTTAAGGTGAAACGTTGCAAGGCGGCTCGCTATTCAAAGGGTATATGATTCCGCTTCAGTGTCGGAAATAATCTGCTTTACAATAACAATTGTGCATCACTTTTGCTTTTTTAATTAATTAACACATTTCCAACGAACAAATCTAATTATGAGGACCAAATCACAGAAACTATTATTTTACTCAAAAACTAGTTACATGTATAGTGTCCCTCGGTGGTGACCTTTACTGTTAAATGTAGTTTGCAATAACACAAAGACTATCTGTTCCAATAGTGTGGCAGTTGAGTGACAGAATTGTGAAATTTGTAACTAAGGCATGGAACCTTGAATACTTGGTTCTTCATCCCATGAAGAAAATTTTCAGATGTACAGGTATTTCATATTATACCCCTAATGACCCTTAAGAGGTCAATGAACTCTGTATGCCTATTTATAGATATTTATAAAATACATTACTATTCAAAACCCCTTTTTCCGAAATGTTGGTCTTCTTGCAATGATATATGAATTTCAGATGTGTGAACATTCATATCTGATCACTGGTGAACTTTAAGAGGTAAATGAATTTACTTCGTAAACCCTATTTGCCGCTAATTATGTTTATTATTTAATCTTTCAAAGACCACTTTTATGACTCAAGTCTTAATACAGGCTGGATCAGCAAAAAAAAAGGAAACCCAGATGTAAATGTAAATTATAAAATATCTAATAAATATTTTCACATAAATAATAAAGTTAAAGATCACGTGAAACACCAATGTGACCTCTTCCAATGATACCTCAGTTATATGTCTGTGGCCACGGATGACCGAGCATTCGTAGTTTATCTGTCAAGGGTCAAAACCTGCACTGTGCCAAGTTCGTGCAAAAGGGTAACTAGTACTCTGGGCATGTTGATCGGCTTAATTTAAAGAAAGAATAATCATTTTCTTCAAACCAATATATCCAATTTCGACACAGTGATTTAAACACTCTCATTGTTGAAGTTAACCCCCCACACCCAATGCCTTTAACGTGGCCACCACCTCTTTCCACACAAAGGTCTGCACGATGTCTAGTCCATGTCAACCTTGCGTAAGAAACCAGCCATCAAGCTCCGCCAGGTACTGTTAACCAGTACAGGTTTTGACCCTTGACAGAATAACAACGAATATTAAGTCATCCGTGGCCACAGACACAAAATCAAATCAAGGCATCATT